CCCCCCACAAGCCGCCCAAACCTTCAATTACTCAAGACCTCAAATAGTACTAAACACTTTTTGGCTGGTTCTTTTGGTGGTTTCCTTTAGGTTTCTTTACAAGTCCTTTAGGTTTCCTTTCCTTTCCTTTCATTGTCCTTTCAATGTCCTTTCCTTTCCTTTCATGTTCCTTTCATGTCTTTTCCTTTCCTTTCATTGTCCTTTCAATTTCCTTTCATTGTCCTTTCAATTTCCTTTCCTTTCATTGTCCTTTCAATGTCCTTTCCTTTCCTTTCATTTCTTTTCCTCCTTTCCTTTCATTTCATTTCCAATTCAAATCAAGATTTTCTAGGATTTTTCTGGAAATCACATTATTTGGGGCCCACACTTGATCAAGGGGGGGGGTTATTAATAAGAGGCGCACATTAGATCAAAAGCTCCATCTCGGACATCTCCCACGTGTTTTATGGAAACATTCATTATCTTTCTATAACCCCCCAACTCTGATGCACACCGGTCAGGACATTGCCTCTTCAGTCCATCTGATCTATCCCCTCATCTGATGCTTTTACATTGCGCACTTTCTTATATTATAGGTTTTCCTGGCATCAATCAGCTCGTCTCCACATCGGGTGGCCGCCGGTGGCCCAGGAGTTTGGCTCAGGATCCTGAGTTTGGAACCACCAGATTGGCAAAGTTGTAGAGATTGTGAAGGCCAACCACGAAGCCATCGACCTCAACAGCCCAGGTTTGGTGACAAGGACAAGGAGGGAGTGACACAAGGACGGACGGACGTTTGGCATGGGTGGACACGGTCGAAGGGCAGCCATTGTGTGTCACACACCGAGAAGACCACTGTCCGTTGTTGCGAAGAGCCGCGCGTGAGGATCTGGAAAAAAGAACACACACACACACACATCACATAAAGGCCATAAAGGCCATCCAGGGGGCCCTGACGTACTATTCGTTGGGGCTTGCGCTTGGGTGCTTCCTCCATGGGCTCAGAACGCATCTATATCGGTACGACGGAGACCACCCCAGCGCGCCAAACGGCGTTCTGAACGGCGACCGAACGAACTCGCCGTCGCATGTCGAGGCGTGACCACACCGGGCGTCCCGGACCAGGCCACCGTTCTCCAGATGGCATGCGGCGTCGAAGGGTGGCAACTGCAGTGGGGTCTCGTGGCAGTTCACGCCTGGAGCACGTGAGGTTGACGTCAGGCCACGTGCGGCGTAGGTCGGCGGATCAGGGGGCGGCTGGAAGGTTGAAAGGTTTCATGAACATTCCATGGAGGTGGTTGCTGCATGGAGGTGGGAGGTGGGGTGTCCACTATCATGATGCATGGGAGGAAAAACACCGTCCCGACATGGAACTCCTGTGTCTTGTCTTGTTCGTGTGGTCAGTGTGAGAACATCTCGCTCAGTGCTTTGGCCCATTGGAGTGGCTCCAAAGGATGGAGGATCTTCTTGAAGTGGAAGCTAGAATCCAATTGATCAAATATGATCAAGTTGGGCTGCGAAGCTTTTCGGGACGGGTGAGGGGGGACCCCTCTGTCTGGATCCATCTGGTCTGAAGTCATTGTTCAATCAATCCTCAGCGTCTCTGGCCCCTGTGGAGCCATGAACATGGGAGACTGCGGCATGAATGGCATGAAGCAAGACCTGCCTTTTGTCCTGCCGCCTATGGAGTCTACATCACCTAGTGGACTTTGGGCGGGAACATACATAATGACCGTTTTAAAAAGAATCTCATGAAACATGAAAGAAGCAAACAATTCATCTAAGAGAAACATATTATAGTAATAATATTATAGAGAAATCCATCACCTCCCATCCGCGTCGTCCGTCCTTGCAGAAACACTTTGGGCAAGGAGACGTGGAGTCTCAAGGCCGCCAAGTCGTAGCCGCTTCGGACCTGCTGTGGAGGCACGCGCCACACGCCACTCGCCGTGGTTTGGAGACAGGAACGCCCGACAGGAACGCAGGGAAGGCTGGACTGTTTAATGATGTCTTTTAGATCCCACCTCGTCTTGCTGGACTATGCTGGACTGTTCTCTCGGTCAGGTGATGTAGACCTGTTTTTCACCAAGCCTTTGAGTGCTTCGAAGGCTTTGAGAGAATCATGGCCCCCATGCTTCCCCACTTCTCAGTGAGCCATGGTGAGCCTATCCTATCTGTGAACCTCAAGTATCCATGCTTCTGCACACGAGTTCTGAGGACACGGTTTGCAAGAAGGGCATTGCAAACCCACCAAACCCACTTGATGTCAAAATCCACATGCCCGGCCCTTTCCCACCATTCACTCCATGGACTCCGAACTCCTTCACCGGTTCTCCGGTTCCTAAGCGTCCGGGCCAGCATGGCCAAACCAGACAACATGGATTGAGAGTTGGCACCTCAGCGAGGTGAGGGAGGTGCTCAGGAGACAGAAGGACGCCTCGCGTCACAATCAGCTCTACCCTTCCCTTCCATTGCAAAGACACATCACATCTTTGAGCAAGGAAGTGTCGTGTGCAACTGTATCATCCAAGGCATGGTTGTAGCGAGGAGTCGTGCAGAGTTTGGGGGCATTTGGACTCAGGTCCATGGCACACGGGAGACAAAAGAGAGACCAGTATGACACTTTCTTTGGACGGGTTTCAAAGCTGTTTCAAGTGGAAACGCGCTGAAACCACCCAACTGAAAAAGAGATAACACCAACTGAAAAAGAGTTGAAACATGTTAAAATCAACTGAACAAAATCGTTGAAACCATCCAACTCATGTACTCTACCACCTTTTGGATCCTTTTGGCCAGCTCCATCCTCTGAGGCTCCAATCCACCTCTTCCCTCGGGTGTCGCTAAGCACCACCGTAGGAGCTCCAAGAAGGGCCCATCCTTTCGGACGACGCACCGAACCACGGAGCAGCGAAACAAAGGGCAGGCGCTGAAAGGTCCAGGCAAACAGGAACCCAAAGGGGATGGGGGGGATAGGGGGTGGTTGGGTGTTAGCCTTGGAATGATCGAGTTCTTAACACGTCTTCAATTCCTGATTCTTCGCACTGAAAGGGCTTGGAACCTGAGAATCCTGCATGAATAGCTTGGGGATCTGCACACCAAACCATCGGGTTGATGTTTGGATGTTGCAAGTTTTTGCACCTAACCCCACAAAGCAGGAGCTGTGAATCCTTGCATCAAGCGACATGATGTGTTGGCCAGTGAACCTGCTTAAACAAAGAAACAAACACACAAATCCAAGGTACTCCTTTCAGGCTTTGGGGGATTGCCAATGGCTATAATGGGTCCGATCCAAAAAACACCACGAGGCGTGCTCAAAAACAACACGTAAAAGGTGTTCCACACCCAAATGAGGTGCCAAAACCATCTTCACCCCTCGCAACATGTCTTATCTCTGACCGGCAGCGAAGTCGCGGCGTACCGTACACAGCGCAGTGTAGCCTCGCAACATGGTCAAAAAAGCCTCAGGTCGCTTCGCTTGACGTCGTGAAAGCATCGCTTCCTGACCACTGGTGAGCCGCAGGGGCAGGTTCATCCGCAAGAAGGGCTCCTGCTGTCCTGCAGCGGGACCAGAAAAGATCACGAAAGCCCTGTGGATGGTAAATGCCGGAAAACTGCTGCAGAATCTCCACATGTTCGCAAACACTGCAGTATGTGAAACATGGGAGAGATCACGGCATATCAAGTGCAGGATGTCCATCGATTCTGGCAGGAAATCTTCCCTCAGCACACTCCCTCTGCCAATGGATCTGCTTATGGGATTCTACCCCCCCTGGCCCACCACGTCCGGAGTGACCGGGAATGAGCCGGACATTCGGCGTGTTCCGGCCCGCCTGCTGTGCTACTTGCGCTTTGCAGCATGCTCCCATGCCTTGGCTTCTGCAGCCGGGAGTTTCTCCTCTATCCAAAAAGCATGCTCTACCTCTAAAGGCCGACATGAACCAACCCCCAGACGCGCCGCTCGAACGACCCAAGCATGGGTCTGGTGCCCAGCTGTGCTCGTGACCCTTTCCTCTGCCAGGGCACATGCGGGGGAACTTGGCCAGAAGCTCATCCAAGGGCGTGACCCTGCCATGAGTACTGATGGCATGGCTTTTCGGAATTTCTCATGTGGTGAGATGGGCCTGCTTTGCAGAAAACAGTTTCTCATGGCCCATCAATCACTAAAAACATGCCAGCTTTCCATAGTCGTTCATTCCATCCAAACCCTGAAAAAAATAACAAACACACAAAAATATCTTGAAACAACGAACAACGTCACATGTGATGCACATCGAAGACACACACACACACATCATAACAACCAAAGAAACTGACCCAGACGCCACCCATCGGCCCCCATGTTGCGCCTGCCAAAGCTGGTGTCGTTGGGCGTGGAGCTTGATTGACCACAGCTGAAGCTGCCAAAAAAATCCCAAGGACCTGGCAGAGTCGTCAAATGATGTCGTTCCTACCGAAAGACCGAAGAAAGCAATGAATGGTTGTCCTATCGATGGTCCTGGATGGTCACTCATCTCATTTCATCTCATTCCCTTCTACGAATTCCTGCAAAAAGCATAATCCAAAAAATGTCCAAGCCCACTCCAAAAGCGCCCCCCAATTTAAAGAAAAACACGGCGGCCATACCCTCCCCAAAACATCCCAAAACCGTGGCAGGCGTACTGTGTGACGCAGCCATTGGCAGCGTCTTCACTTGGCCCCAGCAGCACAGATCTCCATGGAACTCGAGCATCGACGACCACCTGAAGACCCGCGTGTCCTGTGGACACCGACTCGACGACCAGCTGGGATCACGGAGAAGTACACCAGGAGCTTTTTTTGTGCAAACCAATTCCATCGGGGGTCAGTGTAGGCATATATTCCATACATGGATGTGTATGGGGCATGTGTTTGGGCAGTCTCATGCATCAGCCACCACCATCGGCCCTGCAATGAAAAATCATCTGGCATACCAAGCCCTGCCAGGAAGACAACCTCTGGTAGGTTCAATCCACTAGTAAACCGTGGTGAAATCGAATGGCATGTCCACTCCAATCAGAAGGTGATGCTCGTCTTAAGCCGCCTCATGCATAAGAAATGACATGCAAAACCAAACTCATTGCATACAGAATGCATAGGAAATCATCCAGACAACGATGCAAAGACACACACCTTGTTTCACAGTGTTTCACAGGTGCTGGCCTATAGGAATCAAAAAACACCTTGTTTGATATGATGTTACGTTCACCAAAGAGGTCCTTCCTTGGCCGACCACCGGGACCACACCGCTGAGCAAGCTGACTCGGAGGCTCCAGAGCCACCACCTGATGGTCGGGCACTGGCGGAGACGGCGATCTGAGCTGAAACAGCGCCTCTGTCTGAAACCCCATGTAAAGTCCCTGGTCGGTCACTTGGTGCATCTCTAGAATCAATTTAGATCCAATCATCATTCACATCTACAGTGAACATGGAAACAATGGTTTTCAGTGTTCACTTGTTTTCAGTACTATAGGTTCCTTGTGGATGTTCCCAATTCTGAGATACGGTAGTTTCAGAGCAGAGCACGGGGCCCCCAAGATGTCTTTTTTAGACGGTGGGTCCATACATAAACCACCAAACTTGGGGATTGTGCCATCTATTTCTGTCCTGTTTGCACGGCTCAAAGCATCCTGTTGCACGGCGCAACATTCTCATATTGAGCATCCACGACCCCATTATCATTTCCCGACCCATGATCATTTCGCGACCGTCACAATGTCAACGAAGTGCCAATCCAATTTTGGGTCAAACGAATGGGTCTTATCGGGCAAAACCGGTGCTTGGGAACATGTTGATTGCTATACTACTGTTCTGTTCACAGTCTTTGGGGTGCAACTGAATGATCAGTCACAGTAGCCAAGCCGCTTGCTGTGTGGTTTCTGGAAGGGCATAATCAAACACACAATAGCAAGCTTTGCAACATGGCAGGCAATCCCTTCCTTCTCTCCAACGCCCAACAACCCCCATTTCACAAGGCTTCTAAACCAGTGTTTCGAAGAAGGTCTGTCTGTATGACGTTTCTTCGGTGTCCGCTCGCGGAGGTCCGGTCACGGAGGTGCCTAATTGGTTCGGTGCACGCTCAAGCACTCGCTGGAAAGCTGCCTGCGTGGGGTGCGCCGGGCCGGTGTCGGTCGTCAGGGCTCCGCATCGGTCGGTCCTTCGTCCAGTCAAGACCGCCAATGCAGCCAAGTTTTGATTCAACAAAGGAACAGCTTCCACATGCATCAACCTAAACCCAAGATCTACAGTGCAATAAACTGCCATTTACAACATAGTACATCACCTCCTTGTACCCAACTAGTCATGAGTCATGAGCCAATCCCAACCTGTCTCAGGTGCTCCGTCCCTCTCGTCCGTCCGGATGCGCCTCGCTCCGTGCGAGGAGCACCGCGGCGGGGCGGCTTTCAGCGCGCCGGGGCACTTCACAGGTGGCGAAGACGCCTCGGTGGCGTCGTGCACACCGAGGGACAAAGGAACGATGCACCAAACAAGTGTGACCCAAAAAAGAAGCGAACGTGATGTGGAAACCATTGGATGATGTGGAAACCAGATTGAAGCAATACAGTATGAAGCTTAAGAGCAATAAACCTGGGAAAATGAGCATGGAACCTGATGGCATGGACCCTGCCGGGGCCTTTGGAAGACCATTTTCCTCTACGAGGATCCACTGGTGTTCAGCTTCCAGGATGTATGTTTCTGTACGTCTAAAAGGAAGGTCATCTTGCATCATATTGCTTCACAATCCGCAGGTCGCGTGGGATGAGTGACCCGTAGGGTCGAAGGGCGCGTGTCTTCCACGCGGCAGAAGACATGAGATGAGAAGGTCGAAGATCAACGGGTCGAAGATCAAGAGGTCGATGGTTCGGTGTTCAAGGTGAAAAAGGAACATTATAAGTCTGAGACACATGTCCAATGTGGACATTCCCATCTCGAGGTCCATCATTGGCATGCACAGAGCCTGCCAATGTATTAATGAAGTGAATTTGAGTACCCCTTCTGGCCCTTCATCACCCATCTCTGTTGTCCATCAGCTTCCTCACCACAGTCTCCCGGATATTCCCGGTCTCTGCCCCCCGGCTGTTGTCGGAAATGCTATCCACCAGCAGCAGGCGCACAGGTTGCCTTCCAGAGTCCAGGGAGACCTCGGATGCTCTGAGGGCGGACTCTCCGAGGGCGGATTAGAATAGATTTCGGTCAAGATCGACAGGTCTCACAATGACTTTCATTCATGGTGAGGTCAACCAATGATCCCAACCTATGATTTGCAAGCAAACCCACATGAAGTTGAGTGGAAGCTTTTGTTGACCGATCCGCCACTCAGCTGCACACTGCCCAAGAGCCCTCGTCGCCTGCAGCGCCTGGTCGGTGGGATGTTCAAAAGACCGAAGATGGGCAGGAAAGCCCTACACTCCCAGAATCGGTTTTAGGCAAAATCATGAGTTTTGCTAGCCATGTTCTAGTTATATTGTGTGCTCAAGGATATAAAACTGTATAAAATGACCAGGCTTGTCCCAGGCTCAAAAACCAAATTCAATTAGACATCATGCTGCCTGAGCTCAGACTTACATCCGCTGTCACTATGTGCACCCCAGAAAGACACATGATTGTCATAAAACCTTGCCCTAGCATTCTAGTGTAACCCCTTGCATGGTGAAAACATGCAAGGGAAACATTCCATGGGGGGAAACCAGAATAGGACTCGAGAACGTGCCGCACCTAGCCATGTTACAAACGGGGAGGCCTCTATACAGTAAATGGACTGTCCTGACCCTCCACATCTCTCCACTGTTCGTTTTCCTGCTACTGGGCTTCAGGGTGTTCCTGAGCCTTGGGATTACGTTTCATGAACACCCAAAGATTCACAGCAGTGTTGAAATTCAACACGTTTTCTCTATAAAAATCACGTCCTAACCCCCCCCCGTCAGGTGGGGCATAAAACGTTTTCCGTTGGGGGTTGACCCCCCAGATTTCATAGAGCTTATTCAATGGGGTATGGAACATCTACCCGAAACCTACATGTTTGGGGGGTGAAAACAAGAACCCATTCATTGAGAGACCCTCCTCTTCCACCTGTTGCACATTGAATGGGTGGTCAATTGTCACAAAGAAACACCACATGACCCCACGGCAAATCTGAAAACCGCATGACTCACCCGCGAACAAGAAAAGCGGTTTGCCTCGCCAATCTCATTTTGCCATACATTTTCAGCTATATGAAATCTATGACTCCTATGACTTTGACAAATCATTGAACAATGTAATATATCCTGAAACTGACCAGATTCCACAGTCAAACCATGGCCCACTGACGGAGCAAGGGCTTGGAGCAACGGTCTGTGAAACACAGCTACTTCGTCTGTTTCACAGCTCGCAACGGTACTTCTTTCCAAGCCGGTCGCGTTGCACACGAGCCGGTTCGCTGGCGGGGAGCGCCAGCGGTGCCGGTCGCGCCGGTCGCGCCGAGCCGGTCGTTCGCCGGCCTAACTTGCACACCCACCAAAGCCCCAGAGGTGCCACGAGATCGATCCGCACCCTGAGCGAGGCGGGTGATCAGCGATCCGGAGGCCAAGCGGATTGGTTTTACACATAGATAAGCGGAACTACTAGCGGATTATAGTGGGTATAGTGGATGAATTATAGTGGGTATAGTGTGGATGAATTATAGTGGGTATATCCCTGCATTATCTAGAGGATTCAGATTTTGGAGAGCTGTTTCTACACGAAGCACGAGCTGTTCACATGTTGAAACACAAAATGTTCTTCACCGATGCGTGGATCCCCATCCGGATGTCATCGGTGTTTCTCTCCGCCTCAAACAAGAACAACCCCTGAGAGTTGGATTTGCCTGACTTGATCTTCTCTCCCTCTCAAAGCCTTCCAAAAAAGCATCTGCATAAGCTACTAGGTTGGAGGCCATCGCTACTAGGTGGCAATTCTGGGTGGGCTCCAGCTTCTGGCACTTCAGCATTTCCTGGCAAAGGAAATGCCCCCGCATGCCGCTGCGCTCGAAGGGAGGCTCCAAAACTTCCACTAGCCCAGACCGCTTTCGATCTCAACCTGGAAGATTTGTGAAACATCGTCATACAAGCTCCCATGCTGAGGATCCAAGCTTCAAGTTGGAGGGTGGCGGAGGCAAACCACCTGGGAGCGGTTTGCAATGGAGCTTAAAACAAAGATAGTCAGAACCAACACACATGCACTCGGTCCTAAAGTATATACTATACTCATAAACATGTGTGAACCGTTTCAGCCTGAGCTTCAAACCTCAGATCGAGATTCCAGGCGTTGAACTGTTGATCGAACCCCGCACAGTGACACGTGGTTTTGTGGTGCAGCGAACGAGCTATTTCTTCGCAAACCAAATGAACAACTCGGCTGACTCGCATCGCGACGCTGTTTGGCGCTGCAAGTCTTCGAGTGCAAAACCAAAACGTGGCCCGAAATAACCATGTGTGCAACAGTGTGTGAGTTGTGCAACAACAATGCTGTAACGTTTTCAGAACGGAGGTTGGCTTAATGGTCTTTGTCTTTGTACCCCCGTATATGTTTGGGAAACATGGCACCGGCATATCTGGGCCACGCACGGAAAATGTTGGTGCCAAAGCCATGCCTTAGCGGTGCCGGCCACACTCAAACAGATCAATCTGAAGCCAGTTGCCTCCTTCGGAGGGCTGCCGAATGGAAATGCTGTAGCACTGGTAGCAGTTCTACAGTAATTACTACACTTAGGTCAGGTTTGATTGGGAGTGAGTGGAATGTGTCCCTTTTGTCAAGCCATGTCAAGCCTCATGATGGGTTGAGGATTCAAAATTAGTTATATAATATGGTCCTTTCCCACGAGCGCATGCATGTTTGCCTCTCCTCACCCAACCAGCGAATGCTTAGCAATGGAACCCCCGTGCTCACTCAGGGGTCAAACATAAGTTCGAGCCACCCCGGATTGATCGAGTTCCACCACGTCCAAGCTTCCCCTGCAACTCTGCCCAAAACCAGCCATACTTCAGGCTGCCCAGTGGCAAAGAAGCTCACTCGTAGATGCGACCCCCCCCCAAAGGATCTCAAAAGGGACTCCAAGGGCCCTAGAGTGATCCGTTGGTCGCTACCCTAAATAGCTCCTTCGTGCTGCTTCAAAGCCACACACGCACACACGCGATGGTTTTTTTTGCTGCCTCACCCTCCACATCATCGACGCCTATGTACAAAGACGCCTTCAACTGGGAGCCCCTGGCTGTCCATGCAGGTGCAGTTGCTCCATCGGTGTCAATTCTCTCACCTCGCCGCGTGCCGCGCGCACCGCAACGGCACCACGTTTCTCGCCCCATGCGGCATCGCCGGGCGAGCACGGAAGGGAAAGGCATCGCCGGGGGCAGTGTGAACGGTGGGTGTCCCCGTGTTGTTTTGTTTCGGCTTGAACGGTGTGCACAGAAGTGGTTGAATTATGTTGGGGAGAGTCATCGACATATGTTGAATGAGCGGCATTGTCCGATCATGCCAATAGGAATTGTAATGGTATTGTCATGAAGTGTTCTCTTTTTTGTGGTGTGATTGCAGTGTCCACTATCATGAAACTGCCATGTCTTAACGGTTTCATGCCGTTCCCTTTGAGTACCAGTGGGTTGAATTCTCCCCTGCACAGAGAACTGCCATGCCATGGCCCAAGGGCCATTTCCGGCTCGTTGTGAGAACCCTTTCCATCTGAAAAACCATGGGTTTCTGAACCAGATTCTTCAGCTGCCCAGGGAGGCAAGCGGGTGTTGTAAGCTCCGATAAAACCTTCCAACCCCAAATCCCAAAGCCCCTCTTCAGCCTGCCACACTTGCGACCTGTCAGAACGCAAATTGAGTCGCATTGTCTGCTCAGTTCAAAGGCGTGTTATGGCCACCTTCCAATGGTTTGGGTGCGGGGACACGACACTTGCCGATCATCTGAACTCTGTTTGTCCTGCAAAAACACCTGCTCCAATCAAATGAGCTACCAAAAATGCAGTACTACGCAGAACCTCAAACCCACCAGGGCTTAGATCCCACCTCTGTGGTATCGCAGCGATAAGAAGTCTTTCCACCGTACCCAGGCCCCGTCCCGGTCAGATCCAGGACCGTTCTTCTCAGCTCGTCATGAAAAGGGGTCCATTCATGGAATGATCCATGATGATCCATGATGTTCATCCATGTTTCATGATTTGGCTATATTGGATACCCCGGCACCGGAAAACACCCTAGCCTATATATAGCTTTTTCCTTTTCATGGTCACATGGTCATGAACACACGAATGAAGGTCAACCTACCCCAGGGTTCAGGTGTGGTTCAGGTGTTTCCAGTGTTTCCCAGTTTTGCGGTGCCTCACACAACATGGGATCCTTTCGGGTAGACACACGCGCGTTGGGGCCGTTGGGAGGCTTGCTCGCCTTGGGCTCCTCTTGAAGTCGCCGAGGGCACCTGCGTGCCAGTACACACGGCGCGGTCAAACCGGCGGTTTTGAGAGATCCAAGCAATAAAGGGGTGTCAGGTCTTGTGAGGTGTGAGTTTCAATGACCCAGCTGAATATGGCACGTACCGTTTTTGTTGGAAGGAAGACACACATTCCCAAGGAGTCGATCTGTTTTCTTTCTTGACTATCTTGACTCACATAGCGAAGTGTGCTTCCAGCCTTCCTCTGCAAAGGAGTTGATGGAAGTCTCAGTCTTCATCTCGGTCTGCGCCATCAACCTCGCAACACTGCGCAAACAGGGACACCGTACCAAGCAATACCCTGTCACACGTCGCGTCAAAAGCACAGGCAAAGTCACAACACGAGCTGCATCTCCAAGTCATGAAAAGTATCTTCGATTCTTTATTGCCCATCCAAGGAAGAAAAATCTATGTCCTATCCCAACCGCTTCATGTATGCAAATCTGGCCTAGATTTGTTTGGTGGCTTTTGGTATATTGGCCTACATGGAACGTATGATAACTATGAGAAGTATCAGAACCTCCTGGAAAAACAACAAAAAAACACCTCCAACCAGTGACCCCCGCCTGAAGTTCACCAACTTCTCCGCAGGGTATGTGAGTTCGATGAGGCCCAAGCGAGTGGCATCCTGGCCGTTTGCCGAAGATTCACGGCCGTCTTCCACGGAGCAATCTGGAGAAGCGTGTGGAACAGGCAAAGACTTGGCCGCAAAATTGAGAAGCGCTCGAACTTCAGGAGTCTTCTAGGCGATCCGAGTTCTATATGCAATTGTTTTGGCTCCGTTCTGGACTTTTCTGACCTCGCCTCTGCAGTAAGTGGTGGCAAGGAGCGTCTCCAGTGGAAACTGCTCTGCGGGCCATTGAATTTTTTCTTGTAGAGCCGGATGTATTCCTGCAAAGAAACTGTGATCAAATTCACTTCTTCAGTTCATCAGGTCATTTTGTTTCATAAAGTAATTTACAAATGATCCTGAAAGGACCACGTTAATCCAAAACGAAAATGATCCAACTGCGCATGGTTTTTCATCTTTTGAGTGGATGCAGAAGTTCACCCTCTTCGGATGGAACCGGTCTGGAATCAGGAAAACCATCGTTGGCACCGTACAATCGCTCTATCTACCAGTACCAATGTTTGATGTTTCAGACATGACGGAATGTGGAAAGCCACGAAAGCCAAGTTACTATCCCCTACAAAGCACTGCTTTGCACCTTTGGAACATCTTGCTTTTCCAACCCTGCAAACCGTGGAAGGTGCCAAAATCAAACGAATCATAACGATTCCAGTAACCCAGCACCAGTTAGGCTTCTGTGGAGCTTCAAGTGTTCAATTTGAGCGGCTGATCCCAGATCCATCCCAAAGCAAAGAGCAGGATAGAGTCGGTCCATCGGAAGGTTAGAGCCCGATTCGGAAACTAATTAATCGGTCGGATTCTGAAACTAGGGTTCTGAAACTTGGGGCTCTGAAGCTAGGGCTCTGAAACTTGGATTCTGAAACTGGTGTTCTGAAACTGGGGTTCTGAAACTAGGATTCTGAAACTGGGGTTCTGAAACTTGTATTCTGAAACTGGAAAGTCAGATTCTGCAACTTGCCTTCTGAAACTTGCGACTGGTGATCTCCACATCATGCGATAGCGTGTGTGCCTGTGACATCACCTTCGAAGCACATCCAAACCAACGTCATTAGCCCCCCACCCAACCCCCCCACCCCCCAACCCCCCTTGTCCCCATCGTGTGATCTCGACATCCCTCATCATTCACAAAGTTGCGGAATCCTAGTGAGGGAGTCCACAATGTTGCGGAATCCTAGTTGCGGAACGCCAGTTGCGGAACTCGACTTTATCCCCCATCGGAAGCCCCAACAAAATCTGGTGAAAGAAGGGAGTCCGGTCCTTGCAGTGGATCCTCATTCGGAGCGCATCGGGTAGGCTGTAGGTGTTCCTGAAACGCTTCGGGCCCAGCGGACAGTCTCGGGGTGGACGGTGGACCGGCAGACGAGTGGACCGGCTGGACCGGTTTACGCCGAGTGGGCTCGTGGATTTGGAGGTTCCAAATGTTCCAGAAGATAGACTTTAAAGAGGGATGGCCCGTGTAGACTTCGCTGGTACCTTACAAGAATCACGAATTTGATTCGGTAGGACCTACATATATAGGCATAGAGTCAAGGTCTCACAGTGGTCATGGCCCAAAAACCACTTGGAGTCACTTGAGGCGCTTGGAGTGCCAATTTCAAAAGCGTCTGGACTCCTGGACTGATTTTACTAAGGGCATCTTTAAGGGCGTTCACTGTGGTTGGGATCTGTATTTTTCGCCAAACGATCACCTGCCAAGCAGGTTTGGGAGAGTTGTGGGAAGATGATCCGGAGTTGTGAACATCATAAAGCGATATCAACCGTCTAAATATAAACAATGATATGGCGTGTTGTTTGGGAGTATCCTCCTGAACTGGTTGGAAGATTCTTTCTCAAATCTCGTCACGAATCTCTCACATCCCCATAGAAAAAGACTCCAATATTTGTTCGGGACCTGCGGGGAAATGTCTGACATGTGGGTGGTGTGGAAGTGATGTTCAACGTTCAGCACGTCCTGCCAAACCATGAAACGCGTGAGCATGGCGGCTTACGAAAATACCCTACCAGCCTCTGAAAGTCCGTTTCAGCATCTTTAGAATCTTGCTCAGGGATGCTCAGGGGATGTTTGAATTGATCATTTGCTCTGCCACTCATCTCATGAATCAGCACAGAATAGTACTGCAGGCCAAGTTGACTGGTTAACCAACTCATGGCAAGTATCCTCAAATACCAGGGCTCCTGATAAATTGCTTTTGTATACGGCCCAAGAAGCCTAACACCTAGTACGAGTACCCGGTCATCCAGAGTTTTCGTGGACTGTTCCAACAACTTGTTCACCAACACAAACCCACCCGCCGAGCGTCGATTGAATGCGACGCTTCAGCGCCAGAAAGCTCCGTAGAACATGCCTCATGTGGAGGTGGTTGGTAGGTGAAATCTCATGGTAAGCTCTCTGCCTTGAAGATAACCGAAGTGGGTCTGAGAAGGGATTCCTCATGGCAGCAAACTAATTAGATCTAATTAGGATAACAGCCGCAAGAGCCCAAAGAATATCTTAAGTTTGCTGTCCAAAAGGAAGGAGACAGTGCCGTCGACCCAACAAATTGGACAGTCCAATGATTCCGAGTTCCTTGGCCTTCGTCCAATCTTTCCACCCAACAGAACAGAAGGAGTCATCACATGAACATGTAACATGTCTTTTTGCAGCATCATGTCGGACAGCCTCGGAAAGCAAAGCCCAGGTTCCAGATCCCTGTAAACCTGGTTTTTCATGCCCCATTGCCATAGGCCCCAGAGGTTTGGTTTTTCATGCCCCTAGATGTCAAGTGTCAATCCCAGGACGGCTCTCCATGTGTTGGACGTAACAAACTTCAAAGAATTTATGGGGGGTTGGTTTGTCTCCAAGCAAGCCACTCAGCCCCAAGTCATACAGTAAAACAACGTGTGCCGTGCACCGTCATACCTGGTCGCACCGTCCGTCACCGGTGTTTCTTCCAACTCAACTCGGTGTTCTCACCGGTGTCGAGGAGAGAAAGCCAGCATGATATGATCTTCCGAGCTTCAGGTGAGCGTGCCTGTCTGCCCCAAAAGAAACAAACACATTCTGAAAACTCTCACTGAAGGACTGACACTGACACTTAGCATCCACACCACCGCCCAAGACCATTGGCAGGTTTGCCATGCCTAAGCGCAGCGGCACTTCGGCCGTCCAGCTTGTGACTGAAGAACTTCATCGTCCGCTTCACAAGCAAAACAACCTCTTTGACCAAACAAAGTATCATCATATTGATATATTATATAGTGACTCAAGCAAAACAACGCGCTTACTCATGGAAATGAACACTATCATCAGCCTTCACAGGGTTGGTGATGACTAACTAGCTTGGACGTTCGCTACATGGAGAAACAATTGGTCCTTACGCTGAGAGGAAGCTCCGCGTCAATTCGTATATTCACTATTCGAACCACAAAAAGTACCTTGGATGCATCCTTTGCTAGTAATTACAAGTGCATCGCTAGTAGTAACAAGTGCCTTACTGGTAGTAACAAGAAGCTAGTAATTACAATTCTAATTAAATTCGTAACTTGTTACTTCGAAGGCACTTGTTCCTAGTAGCGATGCCCTTGTTACTACTAGTAAGGCACCTGTTACTAGTAGCGTGGCACCTGTTACTAGTAGTAAGGCACTTGTTTCATGTAGCTCAGTCTCACAAAGTGATGTGGAGTATCTCTACAAAGGTGTCAGTTGCAGGGTGCATGCTCGGCATGCACTCTACAGATCAAGTATTCTGCAGAAACATGTACGAGTAACATGTCCCCTTTCTACTTGGACATGTAAGCACACCATGTTGCTGTAGCTTTGCTATAATCTTCTGTAGTTTTGATAGCAACATGGGCGTCCTTTACACAGACCAATTGTAACTAAAAGCACAAACAGCATCACACATCTGATTACATCGATAATTATACCTCCTGCATCCTCCTGCCTGCCATTCGAAATCAATTCCCTGAGATCCCCTGCAGTGCGTGCAGAAAGGGCCACATCTGAAAGTCGAAGGTTCGTCTCACCTGGGTGTGTTCCGCAAGAAGCGGGTTCCGAGCACACTGCACCATCTGAATAGCCCACATCCAGGACAAAATGACGGAACCAGGATGGAAGAAGAACATGATGATGATAAACAAAAATGATGGAAGGATGATGTTTAAGTCAAAAGGTTTGATGCACAAAAAACATCACACCATTTTCTCTGCAGCTTTGGTTGCCTGCACGTTTCGTGCGCATGCGGAAGACCTTTGCTCCGCAGCGCGAAGCTCCGCGATTCGCCGAAGCTTTCGCCTCTGTTCGGTGCAGAATTCGAACAAGCAGGTGGCAGGTGGACTCGGCCAAGCGGAGGTTGAGGGGGCTTCAGTGGCCGAGGATGGCCCTCAGCATTGGCCTGGTGGCCATCTTAAGCTCAGGATGAGCCCCCCTGCAGGAGTCGCCCCTGCGGAGGTTCGGAGCCGCACAGACTTGTACACTGAGCTTCGAACTGGGGTGGTCGTCTCAACATCCAATCGTACGAGATCTCATTTTTATCAATGTTTGTTCATCTTTTTGTTTGTTGTATCACTCAACGTGGCGCCGGTCTGTCTGTCAGGGGCAAAAGCAAATACGCTGAAAAGCTAGATCGACAGAGGGGACACCTCTCATCCCGCAAGGAGCGCAAGCAGGACAAACAAACGGAGCAGTGGCGGCATGGAAGAACAATCACGTCTCGTCGATGATCAAAGCACACCTTGCATTCCAAGCTGGCATTTCCACTGTCTCCCTCGTCCTCTCCTTCTTCCTCTGTGCCATAGATGCCTAAAATCTGTCGAGTTTCACCAGTGAGTGGCCACCGCACGAGCTGATGCAACACCTCTGGATGCCATGTCTCGCTTCCGGTCGGACACCGCACAGAGACGAACGTGAGCTGTTGAAGACTTTCAGGGACCGAGAGGCATATCAGCAAAATCCGTTCAGCGCTTTCAACACTTTCAGCCTCATTCAAGGTGGTCAAATCATCAAGGACCACTTCTTGCCCACAACCCGCCGGTAAGGACTGCCCCATCTCCAGGTCGAAGCGATCCAACTGCTCCGATTGAAGATCCGAGTGAAGCCAGTGAATGTGAAGCCGGCATGCTTCTATAGCATCCACCTGGAAAGCGATGCAAACCTTCTCATCCATCTGCGACATTCGAAGGCTTTCAGGCTGCAAATGTGCTATGACCTGCACCTGACCCACCTCCCTGGCAGGCACAGTGGGCCTCATACGCAGAAGCTGATTGAAGTGCTGTCGCAGGATTCGTTGCAGCTCGCCCACATGAAGGCTCAGCTTGTCGAGGTATAAAATGCCACTGTGGCGCGTGCGCCAGTGCAAGCGCCCAGCTCGCCAAAGGCGCCAAGTCACTAGAAGTATCCAGGCCAGGAGTGTTACCATCAGCAGGATCGTCCAAAGATTGTGAAAAGTGAGTGGTAGACTGAAGCTGCGCTCCATCCTGTTACCAATGGCGGTTCCCAGTGCGGAGCGCTCCAAGAAAACGCAGCGACTCGCTTCAGCCGCTAAGCTGAGCAGAAAGATTCTGGCAGGATGCATGTCTTCAGATTCCCCAAACCTCCCAGTGAAATGCACTAAAGACTCGTCCATCCAAATGACTTCATGGTTGGCCGGCGGTTTACTTCATACCCCCCAAGACCTAACAGGTAGACGGTAGACATGTCCAAGTAATGATAATACCAAAAAGAAACACTCTGCCAGCTGTCAGACTGGGATTCTTGGACCAATCCCAGTCTGATCTACGGATTCTCCTGAGAGAGCTTTGGATTTCCAGTGCCCATGACATGCAACACCACCCATGTTCGGCACGGACGCCGTGAAAGCTCCTCTCAAGCCCCACGAGCAGCTCGGCGGAGAAGCGCAGGAGCTGAGCATCCCGACGAGCCAGCGCATGCCTTCGACAATGCTGGCCTGTGGTTGCCATGAGCAGAGCAGAGGTCCATCCGGCCGGGGTTCGGAAGGGATGTGATTCTGAAGGGAGTGAGACACGTTTGTGATCTTTTGTGGGTACGCGGGTCATGACGAGTACACTGGTAATCACGGGTACATTCACCAACATGAAGTGGATGCCATGGTTCCTTTTGGAAGACGACGTTCCTTTACTAACAGGAGTTGCTTGAATCTCGATGTGATGTGTTCGGAGTGTAGGTTGAGTGATGAGGCTCAGGATACTTCAGGGTTCTCCATGTTTCTCACTTCTCACGCGAGACTTTTGTTTGGCGGTCTACCAAGCACATCTACCTTCCTCTGGTCCAAAGACCCATCGGCGGTCCTCACAGGTCCATTCTTGCCACACAAAACCATTGCTCCGAGCTCTCCAACTGTGACACGTAGACGAGAAGGATTCTGCAAGCAAACCACCATCTGCGGCCAGGAACTGGACGAGTACCATGCAATGAAGAAACAACTGACTGAAAAGGACATCCTTTGGATGTTGTAAAAAGAGTTCGGATCTTTCTTGGCAGGTAAAGTGCAGAACTGGTTCTGTCAGATCTATTTGAGACCAACGGGACATTGGTTTGGTCCCTGAATGAGATTGGAGTTTCCATCATAGGCATCCAGCCCTTGCAAACAGGCCATAAACATCGACTCACGACTCACACCATCATAGATGAGTGAACATGTCTTCACTCTCAGGAACATGTAAATCCATCTCTCAGGAACATGTCTTCAATCTGCTTTCCTCCATCTATCTGTCCGCCGGCACACCTAAGCGTGCCCACAAATCGATCTGCGCCCCATGTCTTCGCTCTGCGCTTTACGCGTCGTTGCGAGCAGGAGCTCCAGAGTCGAGACGAGGCTCGCTTGCGCGCGTGAGCGCGCTAAAGCGCGCGCACCTCGAGCGTGAGGCAGTTTTCCACGTGGCAATCGGTGAAGAGCGCCTGGGACCTGGAGACAGGTGAGACGCCTTCCGAGGCCAAGTCCACTTGAAACGGAAGTTCCTTATGAGTTCTGATTCACAACACATGAAGGACGTCTCACAGCGAGCGCTATGTTTGCACCAACCATGCAGTGGGGACAGAATCAATAACTAGTTCTGTGTTGTTCACCAATCAGTGGGGCTCCTTGCTCTAAGCTATGACTTCGATATAAGGTACTAGCCCCAGTAGTTCCAAGGTTCCTGTAGGTATCCAAGTCGTACTAGTTGTATACCCTAAAATATGTCAGAGTGGGTGAGGATGACTGAGAAAATCAAAGGCTTACCAATGGGCAGTTCGCGGTCTCACTGTTCGCATGCTGTTCCCGGCCACCGAATGGACATGAGGAGACAAATGCCGTGAGCCAAGTCGAGCAAGACGATCAAACGAATGGATGGGATGGGACAAAAAGACACATGCACAACACCTGATTGTATACCCTGCGCACAACATGAGAATGGAAAAAAAGGGTAGTCCAAAGTGCCAAGGGTCCGAAAAAGCCCGTTTAGGGCAACTGCAAATGGCCATGTGATTTAATTCATTGCATAAGGAGGGGAAAGGAGATCAGCTAGCTAGCAGTTCTGCAAGTACAAAATCAGGTGCATGAGCGGTCTTCTATCTTACAAACTCCATGAAGAACAGGAGCCAAGGAGCCTTCCTCTTCTTCACGCAAAAATGGCAACTAATGTGGATAGTTTCACGCCCTCAGGTTCGTGGACAGGTCATTAAAACAAGTATATCAGTATATCTATCCGAGAATGGTTTCTCAAGCTTGAAGCAAAAAAAACCTCTGGCGCTCCAATCTGGGAGCCAGGACTTCAGATCCACTTTGATCGAGACATCCGTCGGCGGCAAGAGCCTTAAGGGCAGCGGACGAATCCTCCGCAATGGGAGACAGCGCGGGTGCTCCCCTTTTCAGCTGCTTCCATGTGAGGCATGAATCTCTTCGATTGTGAGGCGACGCACGGACCGAGAAGCAAGCTATACTGATGTGTGTGTAAATATAAGAGAGCAAACGTGAGTGATCGGGCACGATCTTAGTGCAACATTTCTTGTGATGTGTGACTGACTAATGTATTGTTGACATATAAGTAGCAAACACTGTAGCAAACATCTCAAGAGTTTACCCCGATACTCGCCACCTTTTGCTGACAAGGTGTGGATCTAAGAAATGCCCTGCAGGGTTGCAGGAAGCCGATCCTTTCACTTGCTTGCAAAAGGGGGGTCTGGTGGGTGCAGCTCAATTCTGGCCACATGTGAAGCTCAAAATGACTGGTGGGGACAGGCCGTTTCTTGTGAATACTGGTCATCCATAGTGATGGTTCAGGTGGTGTATATGACACAGAAAACAATCTAGGTGGTGTCATCGAAACCTGTAGGTCTCAGAAGTGGTGGTAGGTCCAAACAATGATAGGTTTGAAGTCCAAGTTCCTATCTTCATGTCAACCGAAATGACATGCTGCTAACTACGCCTACGGCAAGTCATGGTCATGATAGTAATAGTCATGATATGTCATGATAGTCATTGTCATGGTCATGGTAAGGGTGGGGTGGGGTGCAAGGGGGCGTCATTGAAGTCAATAAGAACAGGGTTTCCAAGCGACGCACAGCAGGACACCCTCTTGCTTAGCACTAATTGGGACAAATCCAGACAGGTTTCATGGATCAAATTAGTGGGTCGCCAATCACATTGAAACTCTTTAAACAATCAGCAATGTGTCTGGTTGAAATGTCTGTTGACATCCTTGTGCAATCACTGAACTGCGCAGGAATAGCCAAATCATTCATGTGACCGTCAGTGACCGTACTTCATCTGAATCCTCTTCGCGCTTCGGACTCTTTCTCAGCAGAACTGCCACCAAATTCCAATTGCTGGGCATCCCAGGCAACTGACCAGCAGGCACCGCTCCATGAGCTTCTCGGGTCTGGTTCATGGTCCGCACAAACCTCTGGTGCGCACGAACCAACCTCCGACTCCGACGGCGGACCGACCGGGGAGAGCGGCGGAGAAGAAGGGATGCTTCTTCTACCGGACACCATGTGTTCAAAGCAACCGATAAGATCTGACAAATATTGATATCTTTATTTGAACACTCACCTCGGTTCATCGACAATTTTTGTTGGGGCGCTGTAAATCTTCTTCCTTTTTTATAGGGCGCACTCTCCTGAAATCATGTCCTTATATCATCTGTTACAAAAGGTTCGTTGGACGTATGACGTGTGTTATATAAAGGGTCTTCGGGCTAACTAGGAACTAGAAGTCTCTTCTAAATGGAAGAATCCGCGATGAACGATCGGAGAATCTCGGGCCACTCTCCAGACTTTACCATTGAACAAAGACTTGGATTCATCAAACATCCACAATAGGATAAACAATGAAAGGAATATAAAGGAGGGTTGGACCGAATCTGCGCTGCAGTTCCTTTTCATCACTAAGTGGGGGTGTTCCTTTTTTTGAGACCGGGGACTTCAATTCAAATTCGTGGCTCGTCTCCCTCTTCGATCGCGATGGTATCCAGCTGCAAACAGGAGGCTCATCTTGAGACATCTTCTGGAAGATCCCCAACTCACCTGGGACGCAACTGGGCATGGAAGGATCAGTTCGGGGATCAGTCAGACGGATCAGCGCCTCAAGTGCAGGACGTATGACACGTCCTGCACTCCTGCGGAGCTCGACTTCGTGGTCCAACACTCCTCCGGAGCTCAAAAGCGAAGCTTCCGAAGCTCTGGTGCATTCTGGCCCCCCTCCAGCCGCCCCAGTCACCCGAAGCGAAGCTTTCGGCTGGGCAGGTACCGCACCTGGCAGGGACCACCTCCTTCGACCCGTCCGCCCGCCGTGAGGGTTCTGAGGGTGCCGTGGGTTGGTGGGGGAGTCCTGCCACGTCGGACGAAGCACCTCCGAAGTGGAGGGTGGGTGGGTGGGTGGAAGGCCGCTGGGAAGGGACCATGTTCAGTGGTTTTCACGCACTCACTCCACTGGTGATGTGTTCGTCAGAGGGTACCAAGCTCCAGACACAGTAAGACACCCGAGCCTCTTGTGATGTGTTCAACAATCTGCTTGTGCCACCTGAGCCTCCTCAAAGCCCATGCCAGGCGTTGACGTTGTGATCGGGAACCATCCGCCACTTCAAGCTCGAACGGGTCCCCCGGCAGGTGCGCGTGGATTGGTAAAGGCTCCAAGGTACCAAGGTCTTCGAGAGACCTCGGCAAAACACATGCAATATCTGGGACCGGGGTCGGGTTTTAGTGCAGGATCGAATTCTCAAGCGGCTTTTGGAGAACACCGCGCATAGCGTGTGGCAGGCTGTGGCAAGGGGAGGGCCTCTGCTCTTGCGAAAGATGTGGTCTAGCCAGTAGCCTACATAAATAAAGGAAAACATTTAGAAACATATGATACCATTGGATGAGTTCACTGGATAATTCATTTTTGGGATGCACCCGCGGAATTGCATGGAGGTGCTTCCACCAGCGGCTGAGCTACACCCAGGTCACTGACCGAAAATCCACTCATCCCAACCGGGCTGTGTAATGAAGCTACCGTTTTGGATTAGAATAAAATACAATACAACATAATAGTGACCCGCTTGTGAGGCTGAACACTGAACGCACACCACAGGCTGCTCGTCCAAGGCCACGGCCTTCTTCGTACAACATCAATCCTTTCAGCTGCATCGTCTCTGCCAGCAGGAACTCCGACTCCCGCGCACCGCCGGCGGCACCGCCACCGCCCTTCTCAGTCTCGACCACCTCGTGGGACGTCAAGGAGCTGGTCGCGGTGTCAAATGGAGTGCTAAAGTGACAAGAAGCTACGAACGTAGCTCCTGGCATCGCTACTAGTAAATAACAGGGGCATTACTACGACTACTAGTAACAAACAACTACTAGTAGCTGGAAACTACTAGGGTGGAGGCCATTGTTACTATAGAGCTTTGTTGATGAAGAGTGAAGGGGAATGGTCGGAATAGTTATGCAGGTGGCCAATTATATATCGAACAGTCCGTCTCCCTGTCCATCGCCTTCGAATGTTCTTTCATCCCTGTATTAAGTATTGCGTTTGTCATCGTTTGTCTACGTTCGTTTCATCTCAGACTGTTTTGCATGGTTTTTGCTGTCCCTCCATGGTCAAGTGACATTTTTGCAAAGACTGTCACTGCTCGCAAACTGAGATTCCTTGCCGGAACAATGTCACAGCTGTTCATCACCAATCCAAGTGACAGCGGATGTCCTGCAAACACAAATTGTTGATTCCGTCATTTGACTTCATTTTATTGTTTTCCAATGGCTCTAGGTTGTCAAGACATTGTCCAGCATGGAATTGATGTCCCGCCCTACCCCCCCTGGGTGACAGTTGGCAAACAGAAATCAGAAACACAAAGGTTGGACCCACGAACCACGAGAAGTGGAATGGATCACCTCTGCAAACACCCCACCAAGCCAACTCAAAACAAATCCAATTCAAGGCATGGAAAACCTCACGAAAAAAGGCGAATTCACAAAAACAATATAGAGATCCCCAAATAAATAGTGGCACGGTTTCCAATGCATTCTCAGTGGGGATCTATGCTTTATAATGCTCTTATACATACTCTATACTCTATACACACTACATCACACTACTTTCATACACGAGCGCCTTCCACGTTTAGAATGCGGCTGGCGGACCTGAAGCTCCCCATACCTCTGCCATAACCCGCAGTCCTGTCTCGCGCATCTGGCACTTCTCGCCTTCAATTTCCACACGCACATGGACATTCTTCACCTTGGACGTTCGGAGAATAAATAACTTGAAAATTCCGAGGTTGGAGGGAGAAACATAAATACCTGGACCCTCCAACGACAAGAATTTTCTGGTTTTTGTTTTTGACTACATGTTGCCAGCAAAAACTGTAAACGCTAATCCCGTCCTCCTAATAATAAACACGGCCCCCCCAACCCCCCTATTAAAAAAACCTCGGTCGCATTTTTTCTAATAGGGGGTCCCTGAAATCGGGGGGGCCCAAAATAGGGTCACCTGGAAACAGTTTCAAAGCCAAAAAGTAATCCAGAAAAATTTTCTATAAAATCCTTTATTAAACTCATATCAAAAATGCAAAAAACCGCCAGATCGAAGGGTCTTCCTGTTCCCCTACAAAAACCTTCATTAGAATAGTGATTCTTCAGTAGACTTACAGCTAAAGCTTTCGAAAGGTGATGTCGCTGTGCCATGCGGTGTTGCATGACCTCGGTGGCAAGTGCGTTTGCGTGAGTCCGTGCCATTGAGGGAAGGAAAGCCTGCTGGTGTAAGCGCGGCGTGTCATGGTGGAGTTTTGGGGAACCTAATTAAGAAAACTACCACCAAAATCGACCATGTTGGTAGTTTAGTAGCGGTTTGAAAGGGCGGCAATTTAAAACCAAATATAAACCGAATTTAGGGGTTCGGACGTGGTGTTTTTTTAATTGGGGAGTGTTTATTAATAGGTACTCGGGATTAATTACAATCGCTATACGACATAGTTTCCTGGATTCTCGTAATGTACTTCAGTTTTGGTGTCCTGACTGCCAAAGGTTAAGATGGGACGCTCGACCAGAATTACCCGCAAAACGCCCGCAAATATCCCGCAAACGCCCGCAAATCCCATTTCCTTGTCGTTCCAGTTGTTTTCTCTCTGTTTGACTGTGCCGGTAATGTTTTTACGAAACGCTAGGTTTTTTATCGAATCGACAAGAATGACATGATTTTTTGTCAAACGATTGATTTCAACAAACAACGATAAATATTTTTGCATTGGAGGTTCAAGGTACAAACCCAACAACTTCCAGCACACACCATTCTCCATCATTCTCCCGGAGAAATCTCAGCACAGCACGGTGATCTTGATCCTGGAGAGGTAGTCGGAGAATAGCTTTCGAAACCTCGGTGTAAAGGATCAGATCTGTGTGGGTGGGATCCAGACTGGTTGTGCGAGCTGCTGGTCTCTCAGATGCTCGTGCGCCCTGAAAACCCCTGAGCATTCCTTGAGCATCCCCTGGCGATTGGGAAGATCAGGAGGCTTTTGACTCACAAAACCCCCTACATGAAGAGGTTTTACACTGAGATGGTTTTATTGTTTTACCATCCGAAAATGGGGGGTTCTATGAATCAATACCTTAAAATTCACTTTTTAGGCTATTCTGATGCTCAGTCTGCTCCGCCGACGGCCTGTCTGACAGCGGTGTCTCTGGACGGAACTGAGCAAGGGCACATCTATATACAGGAAAGCAGGAAAGCCATTGTTTTTGCAGTGGCAACATGGGTTTCCTGCAGATGTTCCTTTAAGTCAATTCATTGAATACTTCGGCTTCATTCTGCAGAGAGACATGTCCAAAGACCATCGTTTGGACGCCAACCTGGCTACCAAGACCATCGTTTTGACGCTTCTTCCTTCAATGCTTCACCACAAAGCATCTCTTCGCGTGGAATAGACGCCCTGAGCTACCGGGCATCTCTCGTTCTAAACTTCTTCTCTGAGACTGACTTCGCATGTGGACGAACCTCGGAGCGATCTGGGTGAGAAGTTCGGTCTTGGTGAGACGAGCGCGGCGCCTTCCGACGACGCTACGTGTATATAACGACCCCCCAATAGATATAGAACATGTATTGAACACCGTGCCACGGTCATCTATTTGGGGACCAATATATGTGTTTGTGTGTGTGTGTCCTTGGGCTACGGGTAGTATGTATGCCAGGTACTGTAGTCCTTGTATTGTATTGAAAAAGTGCCCAAGGATTACATACAAGGTGGCACCACCCCCTCGAAAAGAGTGAAAGAACCGCAGTCTTTGAGGAATCCGTAGGCAGGATGAGCCCCGGCTACAACCGGTATCGTAACCCCTATTCCTTTTTCACATAAATGCTACATTACAAGGTGGTGAGAGAGGCTTTGACAAGATATGTCCAATCTCAAGCGCGAATTTGCACACCATCCTGAACAAGATTTACAAGGACCTCTGATCAGGTCACTCGTGGATGAAATCGAAAGAAACCCACGGCTGGTTCCTAAGCCACATGATTTTGCCACATGTTGGCTGAATCTCAACTCGTGACTCCATGCCAACTGTAAACGTGGTGATGAACCGCCTACATCCAGATTTCGGCCGGCCGATGCACAACCCGGCCTGCACCGTTCACTGCACCTTCCCTGACACCCAAGCGGCTCCAAGCGTTCCATCTCATTCGTTCGATGCTGATAAACCTCCAGCAGTGTCGCAACTCAACAAGTCTGGTCAGGTTGCCACCAGTGGGAGGCCCCATGCAGCGGAGCCGAGTCGGGCATCTTCAGGTGAAAACATTGAGTGAACTGAGCCTGGTCTTAGACTGCACAACCAACGGATCTGAGTCATGTTCTGTCTGTGGATCATGTTGCAACAGTTGTTTTTGAAGTAATTAGACATGTCTGGATCTCTGGAGAACACCCCTTCTTCTAAGCGAAGAGTTTTGTGCATGTCAGTGAGTGACCTCACAAGATTTCAGACACCTGGCGCATTTCGGACACCCGGCGCACCTGGCCACTGACGTAGGGGATTAGTTGGTGACACCGAAGTTCTTGGTCATTTAGTCCACATGGTTCGGCACTTAAGTTTGTGGGTGATCCACAAAAGAAAACACTTCCACCAAAGCCCCATACCCCTTTTGTGTGCATGTGCGCCAATTCACATGCATGTAATCTTCTCCGTCCGTTGCCTCCTCTCTGGTGAGCCACTTGCAGGCAGGTGCCATCACCAAGGTTAACCTGAAAGGCGGCCACCAAGCACGAAGGCAAACAAAAGAACAAGAGCATGAACAAATCGTAGATGGGACTCAGAACACGTTGTTTGTCGCAAGTGTTAGATGGGACTCCGGGAATTGCATTCGTGGAGTCCCATTCTTTACACACTATAGTCCAATGTTTGGGTGTCATGACTATGACTCGGATAAATATATAGTTGAAACTGGTGGTTTTAATATGATCCCCACTCGCATGGGGCTGGAGAAATCAACCAAGAAGCACGAGAGGAGAGTCCAACTGGACGAAGAATGACAAGTTCCAAGTCCAGATGCTCAAGGTAAAGTTGCAGAATGTTGAGGTAGAAAACACGTGGCGCTTTCTTTAAGCAACATTATATAATATTCTATAATATGTGCACTATTATTCAGTGAGTTCCTTTGACTCCATATGCTCTACATTTTTCTACCTCCATATCTGATCAACCGGTCTGATCAACTGGCGGCATTCAACAAACCTCTTCCCCAAACGGGGAAGCCAGGCTGCCGGGCCCATCAACCACAATCTCCAGCTCTCCTTGCATCAACGACCTGCCATCGCTCGGAGAACACCCGCGAAGAGGCACCAAGCAAGGACCACTTCAATTGCCCAGCTTTGAGACTTTCAAGAACCAATATGGGGTGTGCAATGATGTGCATCAAAATAGGGAGACGGAGACCCCCCCACAAAGAATGGACCTTTTCAGAAGGACAAACCAAAACCCCTTGGTTTGAGACCTGTTACGGCTCAACACACCCACTTGGCTCAACATGGCTCAACCGAACAAAGTTGGGGTGATGAGCCTTGCCCAGCCACACTTCATCAATCCAGAGACATCCGAAGATTGATCTGATGTGAACTGACTACTCGACCTGGTTTCGCCCTAAGGTCGACTGCACGCTTGTTTCCAAGAAGCTGACTAGAAATGATAGACATCGTGAACCAAAAACCTGGAACACGCAATGAGCTGTCATGGGATGTCACCAGAGTTTTAACACAAAGCCTCTACCTGGTACGCACCCGCATGTTGCGTTCTTTTGCCGAGCAGCAGTTGAAGCATGGCAGAGGAGAGGGTTCCTGCCTGCACGGGGTGCTTCTGGCCAGGTGTTTTTTGAACTACATTGGCTATTGAAATGATTCTGTAGTCGAGGTTCTCATGTCTGGAAATGACTGGCAAAATTTGAGATGCTGGAAAAGGTGTTGCACTCCCTTGATGTCTGAGTACTTCACTCAAGCCAGTAAATTAGCTGGAATTGTGTTCCTATGACAATTTAATATGCTCTTTGGAAGCAAAAAGAGATAGAATGAACATACCAACCTCAGGGTCTACCATGATCGTTTATCATCCATCATGCTCCCTGTCCCACCCAACAAGCCATACCCCGAGTTGGGCTCCTCAAACGATCCAATATGAGCAGTGTCACAGTGTCATGGTCTCGGCAATGGCTTGGGTGGAACAAGGATTGAACGCGATGTTGTTTGCCCCAAAAAAACCAAGCGGGTTTGAATCCCACTCCCTGCCGTCGCCTTGACCACGAATGGCAAATCGCTCCCCAGCAGGAGCTCATCAATGGGCTCAGGGTTCAGGGCCTACAGTGCACAGTCTGGGGTCCACCTTCGCAGTGTTCGCAGCAGGCTGCACATAGTTTTGGCCAAAAACGAGATCCAGCTGAGTTCCTCAAGCAATTCCTCCGAACGAGAGTCTAGGCATCTGAGGGCCAGGGTGCACCAGCTATATATTGGTGTTTCGGCTCCAATAATATGACTTCAGAGTGGCTGAAGAAGACACACTCCAAGATGTTTGGGTTTGTGGTTAATTCATCCCACAAGTCAAAGCACTTATAGGGTTGGGCCATTGGAGACTTGGAATCCATTGATCCATGTTACGACTCTTCAGCCAAAGGCTCCTTCAACTGGTTTATCCAAAACCTGGCCCAATCCTTTTTGTCGTGTAGGTATTCAAAGTGAATGAAATGAAAAAGCATGAGTAATTGGATGACAGCGAAACCAACAAACACTTGGCTAAATAGTGAATCCAGGGAGCTGCTCCCCTCCACAGCCAACGCTCCAAGGCACTAGATTTCGAAGCTCCAAGAAGCCGCTCAATAAGCCTCACGGGTGTGCGCGCTTTTTATGCGCGTGAGGCACCTGGATTCAGGGAAGGGAAAACATCAACGGACCAATGGAGTTTTTGTTTGTTTACCAGAATTGGCTTAAGGGAATCCACGGTGTTCACGCCCAACATGATGTTTTTGTCTTTTAACCCATTCCGGGATTGTTGGTGTATTTGTGTTTGGACACTTCAAACAGGACTGCGAAAGGCCAACATGCCAGTTGAGACAAGCTGGACTAAGCTCATATTGGATGGCTGTAAGCTGAACATGCTCAACTATTGATCTCATTGCATCTAGCTTGGGCAATGGCTGACTGGCCTCCCCCTTGTGTATATAACTGACTGAGAGAGATCATCTCTGGTGTTGGCAAATGAGTGTGCCTGTCCGGACTGTCCCTGTCGTGTTTTTGGCTCCATGCGACCGGACGTCCGGCGTCCCACGCCTAGATTCAAGTGCTCGGCATTGAAGCCATTGATGAACTTCTTGGCTTGCCCTTGCAAGAGTTCCGCCTTGGCGCACGAGAGCAGGAGCAAAAAGAAAGATCAAGAAAAGGACCATCCTGACAGTGCGAGATAGTGCGAGATGCTTTTGGATCAGAAATTGTTTGTTCCCAGAAATGACCATGCTGTCTGATGAAGCCCGCAAATCTGCCGGTCAATTCTCACCTACTCACTTTAGATCCATCGCCGGATTGACGCTAACCGTGCAGCTTTAGGATTTGCCTATACCATGAGAATTTCAATTAGACAACCAACGCGGGAGTGTCCAACCCCAATTTGATCGCAACAAAAACTGGTGATGGTTTTGGACCCTACCTGGTGCCTCCTCCACCCTGCAACTGTGGATGCAAGTGAAGCTTCCCCACTCGAAGAGCTCCCAGACCCCCTTCATCTGACTCCCTCAGTTCCCTGGTGCAACTGATGGTTTGACCGAGCTTTCCATCTGCACCAAACCATCACCAAACTCACAATCTATTCAAGGAGATTGTCGACCTCGAACACAGATCCGATCGTCAGATCAGGACAAAGAAATGGGTGCGAGCACCCGAGGGCACACCAAAGCGGGCATTCACCGTGGGCAACCAATCCCCAAATAAGGATTTTGCAGGGTCTCCCCTTTTGCTCTGCAGGTCACTGGGGAAAAATCAAAGGCCAGGCCCTGGGGCGAAATCCCTGCCAAGTGGCTAATCGGCTTTCCAGCACCATGAGCCTGTGTGAGAGGCGAGGTTTTGATCCACACACCGCACTCCTAGTGCTTGGCTACTAGTAGCAAGTGAATTGTTCTAGCTTCTATATACTACTAGCGATGCACCTGCTCCGAATAGCGATGCACTTGTTACTAGTAGCTGCACGAGTGCTTTGAAATGCTTTTTAAGATGTTGCTGCTATTTTAATCGGGGATGCTGCATCATGGACCTCGAACCTCTTACTAAATAGCCATCTTGTGCCGAGACCTCCAAGCACATGTGGCAATGGATTCATCCTACATACATGTTGCAGGCTTGCCTCAGCTTGAGGAACCCTTCAGAAAACCATGCCCATGCTGTATCGTGTTTTGCTTACACATGGTTATACCATGACAACTCCACAAGGGAGCAAACAAGTAGTTCTGTTGCATGATGCCAGGAACCCAAGAATCTATAATATGCATATATAATCATATATATATATAATACCGGATTCATCACAGAATGGACACATTGGGTAACAAAAGTGGACATTATTATCTTATCATTATTCATCCCCACTTTTTACCTTCAACATTGTTCTGCCCAGCTCCGCGCCCTCACAGCTTCCGATCTCCTGCCTTCGGCTCGCTGCGCGCCGGCGGTTGCGCACGGTCGCCCGGTGTCATGAAACCACGGCCCCCCCGTTCGCCGGAGCCAATTCGCTGCCACGGCGAGTTTCTTGGTGTTTAGATCTGCCGGATCTACGGTTCGTTTGTGTGGTGCCTCGAGGATCTGCCGTTTTGCGATGCTCAAAGCAAGTCTGGTTTCAAATCCACTCTTGGCCAATAACTCGAATTGGGACCTGTCACCAGGTGAATCAATTCCAAGCACCGCAGTAGTTTAGTGACCAAGACTAAGAGCTCTTGAGTGCTTAACCTGAGCTCTTGAAGCGTGGGATGTGCCCACCCACCCGGCCAAATAGATCAGCCAAAGTGACATTCTGCGGTTTTGTGGATCTTAATTCCTGAGCCACTGCAACGTACCTTGCTGATCATGGTCAGGAAAGTGTAGAAACAAAGGGTATCTGGCATCTCCCAGAATCCCAAAGCAACGTATGCATTTCCAGCTTCTACCCTCTCATAAACTCACGGGCTCACCGTTCCCACCATTGGAAGGGATCGCCAACAGTGTTTCGCAGAACCCATCTTGATGGATCCGCCCCATGCCCAAGACTGCCAACAAATGAAAGACATTTTCCGTCACGGTGGATCAGGCAAGGCAACCCATGCGGCAAACCTTGCGGCCAACCTCTCGTGGCACCAAAATTGTGTCTTCTCTCGCTCGCCCTTCCTTGTTTTGCACAGTATGTTGAACCCAACTGGAACTGACAGGTTGGGTGGCATGTAGGGATGCGCAATGAAGGATAACTATTTTGGATTTCTATGGACTTTCCACTGGCCTGGCACATGGGATATTGGATGCTGCTATTGAATTGTTCGGATGGTTATGCTTAGCAGGGCCTCCACACGCACTTCTATCTGCGGTCCACGCTCAAACAATAACCTCCATGTCCTTCCGCCCCACCTTGCGAGATCTCCGTGCTTGGCTCCAAGCACGTTGGCCGGGCCGAGAGCTCGAGATGGTGGCGCTTCCGGAGGGCTTTTCCGCAGTTGTAGCATTCCAGAAGCGAATGGAGTAATCATCGCTTCCGGAAGCTAAATGTTGGCCATCTGGACTGTATGCGACTGAATCGATCACATCCGAGTGCCCGGTGAGAGTCTTCAAACATTTCCCACTGCTGCTATCCCAGATCTTGATGCTGACATCCCAACTGCCAGAGGCAATGCGCTTGCCATCGGGACTGTAGGCCACTTCCCAAACATAATCAGTGTGACCATTCAAGGTTTTCAGGCATTCTCCACTGCTGACATTCCAAACCTTGATGGTATGATCGTCGCTCCCAGAGATGAGTGTGGCACCGTCTGGACTATAGGCCACCTGATATTGACGGTCAGCTTTGTTCGTTGCCCAGCTGAGTTTTGCTTGGGGAAGGGTCAGCCAACGAAACAAACCGTCAAAAACACATTATGGAGCTTGGACGTGGGCCTGCTGGAAAAGCGATTCCTCGAGTGTCCTGAACAAAAGCAACGGACTTGAGGGCCCTTGTTGATCTGCAGGAGGCTAGAAGACTCGAGGCTAGAATCAAACTAATGTTTTTAAAAAACCAATCAAAAGTTCCATTTTCAGCATCTCAGGCACCGATCGCAGGTAGTCCTTGTGTCCCTTCAAGGTCTTCAAGCATCTCCCACTGTGCAAATCTCAAATCTTAATGGACCGATCAGCGCTGCCCGATGCGATCTGCCGACCATCAGGGCTATAGGCCACGGTCCACACATCGTTCTTATGCCCCTGGAGGGTTTTCAAACAGCTGCCGCTGGCAGGATCCCAGATCTTCACCGTGTGATCCCACGCGCAGGAGGCCAGGGTCTGACCATCCGGGCTGTAGACCACCTTGCGAATGGAATCTGCATGGCCCGTGAGAGCTTTCAACATGCGGCCGCTGGCGAAGTCCCAAATCCGGATGGTCAAATCATCACTGCATGAGGCGATCTGCTGGCCATCCGGGCGATAGGCCACGGACCAAACATCGTCCTGGTGACCCTCCAAAGTCCTTAAACACTTCCCAGTGCTGGTGTTCCAAATCTTCACCATGTAGTCCTCAAGCAAAGGGCTGAACGCACTGACGCACTGAGGACCGTAGCACTGTCTGTGTCTGTTCCGATCAAGTTTCAACTTGAGGCCAGGGGGAGGAGGTCGAAAGCTAGCCGAATCGCACCGGATGTACTAGTTACATAGTCGGCAAAGCATGTAGGGATTACATGTTTTGGGAGGAAGGTTGCTATGTACATACTTTGCGCTAAAGAATGTAAATGTGACATCGCTGACTGGGAAGGGTACATTGGAACAACCCGGGTGCACTCGTTGGCAGGCACGAAGATGCGTGATCGGCAAATCTGGGGGGTAAATTTACCCTCCGCTTATGTATGCCTTGTGCCGGAAAGAGGGGTAAGCATTTCTGGCATCACAAGGACTGTGCATACACTAGGGCGTCCGTAGTGTAGGATA